GCAGTCCCTGTGCTTTGCTAAGCTTGTTCTAAGTAGGTGCTTTAGACCTCTGAGCCATCTCACCAGCCCCTATAAATGGTTTCTTTTTTCCAGCTTTGGATATAGTGTCACAGATTGCTGCAGGCTCCAAGTTTGAGGGTGATGGGACCCCTGAGAAGTGCGGTGGCATCTAGGCTCCAAGCCTGTCTGCTGCTGCTGAGAGTTACCACACGGGGGCGCTCCTGCCCTGCATGCTGAAGGTCTGGGGCACATCAGTGGATAATAAATGTTGGCATCATCTCTTTTGATCCTGAGACAGCGTCTCCCAAGCAGTATTGATCAGGCCAGGCTTGCACTTAGTATAGACCCAGGCTGACCTCAAATTTGCAGGAGTCTTCCTGCCTCCTCCTCCTCACTGCTAGGATCACAGGCATATGCCACCATGCCCAACTTGTTTTCATCAAGTTTTAATCTTATATATTCCTTTATTGTAAAAGAGTTTTTCTCTTTCATTCAACCTAGCTTGTTCACACTGAACATGCCCCTTTTTATTTTGAGACAGGATGTCCCCAAGTTGCTATGGGAGGTCTCAGACTTTCAGCATGCCTGACTCAGCCTCCCAAAGTGCTGGGATTACAGGCATGTGCTGTGTCTGGCTGGAGAGGTGAAAGTGAACCTTTAAGAGACTGCGTCCCCAAAGTGGAAGCCTGAACCCACTTACTTAGCATAAGATGCAATGCTGAAATTAAACCTGAACCTGAGGTTTTAGTTTAGAAAAAACAGCTGTCACCTGATTGTCAAGTATTGGGGCGACTTGGCTCACAAGCTGACAGAGGAAGCTCAGGATGTCCACTGCATCACGTGTGCTGGGGGTTTGCCACCACTGAGCTAAGGGATTTTTATTATTTATTTTCTATTTTTGATTGCTATAGGGCCTCACCATGCAGCTCAGACTGATAGTAATCCTGTTTTCAGCCTCCCCAGGTCTGGGGTTATGAGTACACACCACTACACCCTGACTCTGGGGGGCTCAGGCTTCCCTGGGGGCAGGGCCTACGCAGCATGTGGTGCTTGGTGTTGAACGATGGTCCCTGCGCTGGCCTAAGCAAGCACTTTAGTCTGGTGAGCTCTCTCGTGGGCCTTTTTAAATATTACTTGTAGAAGAACCAGGCGTGATTATTCATGCATGTAATCCCAGCTCTTGGGAACCTGAGGCAGAAGGATCCTTGTGAACTCAAGACCAGGCTGACCTACAAAGTGAGCTCATGGGCAGCCTGAACGGCATAACCAGGTCCTATTTCTAAAAGACTAAACAAATGTGCCTGCGAGATAGCTCAATGGACTAAGCGCCTGCTTTGGCAAGTGCAGGTAACAAGGTTTGATCCCCAGCAGCACATGCCGTGCTGGCCCCTCCACTGGGTGCACAGAGCCTGGAGCTAGTCTGGGCACGATGGTACATGCTTCTAATCCCAGTGCTTAGGAGGCTGAAAACAGGAGGATCACTATGAGTCGAAGATACACAGTCAGACCCTGTACAAAATGCATGAAAATGGGGCCAGGGAGATGGCTCGGTGGAATAAGCGCGTCCCTGGGAAGCTCGTGGGCCTGAGTTCAATCTCTGGCACCCCCCCCAAAAAAAGAAGCAAAATGCATACAAAAATAAATAAGTAAATAAAGAATGGCCCACTGAAATGAATAGATACTTCTCAGGACTACTACAAATGGTCAGTTAGTACACTACAAATTTTCATCATTGCCCGGCTAGACGAATGCAAATCAAAGCACTCAGATTTCATCTTATTCCACAAAGCATGCCATCATCAGAAATAAGAACAAATATACAGGAAAAAAAAACAAAAGGCCGGCCAAGTAGCTCAGCAAATTAAAGTGCTTGCAAGCAGCGCAGGGCCAACGGTTAGAACCCCTGGCCTGTCGAGCCAGCCCTCGGGGCTGAGACAGTTGAGACAGGGCTTGGTAGTGTGCGCCTGTATAAACAGGTGGATCACTACGAGTCCGAGCTAGGAGTGAGACCCTGGACTCCCTGTAGACCGTTCCCTAGAATACGGGGAAAAAAACACATGTCAGAAAAGCCAGCTCTGGGGCAAAGGAACCCTTTTCCATTGTTGGTGCGAGTGTAAATTGATGCAAACACTGTGGAAATTCCTTAACATACTAAGAAATAGAAATTTCATTTTATCTGGCTCGTCCCTCCTGGGTATCTTCCTGGCGAATTTAAAAGGCAGCCTGTTCCAGTGATCCCTGCATAACTGTGATTGAGGCTGCACAGTACATAATCGCTCACCCCTAGAAGTGGTCTCCACGTCCTTCATCTTAAATGCATAAAGAAAATGCAGTCTCCGTGCACAGTGGAGCACTACTCTGCTATATAGAAAGATAAACCTGAGTCATGTGTAGGGAAATGGATGCTCCTTGAGTCCATAATGTTGAATGAAATAAATCACACATGGTTTATTCCATATATCACTTGCCAGCACTTACGTGAGGAGTGTATTAGAAATCCAGAATACATGAGAAGTTCAAAGCATAAGTAAATTAAAGAGCAAAATAAAAGAATCGGAGAGAAGTCTTACGCTCGTGGGAAGAGGAACAAAGAGGAAGGAGGGGCGGGAGAGGAAGGCGCTGAGGTGAATTGAGACATGTCCATGTGCCAACTCCCTGAGGATTGTAACCCTATGGCACAAGCATGCATTGAACTAATGAAAATAAATTTTACAAGTAAAACAACAATTTGTGAAAATAAATATATAAGCAGGGAACCTGGAGCTTTACATCACTGAGTTTTGGAGCACTGGTGGCAGTGATTGGTGAGGCTGGGCCCATGAGAGCCCGGCCCAGAGACGGCTGGAATCCTGAGCACAGAACCCTTCCATCTTGCCTCCGTTCTTCTTTGCTGCGTTGAGACTTCTGACTTTATTAATCTCTCGTGAATGACTTCATTTGGATGTACTGAATTTGTTGCTTTGTTACCAGAACATAGCTTCAGCCAACTTGAGGAGCTCTGTGCTTGTGCCATCAGCCTCCAAGGGTTCCCCCCAGCCACATGCTCACCTCCACCACCACTGCAGATTCCCCTAGGTGCTCTGCACTGGCCCTCTCATTCACTGACAGCAGGGCTGTGCATTAGGTAGGAGTCTGTCCCATTTGTATTGCTAATAGCCTAACTTAGTAATGTTACTCTAAACGTCTCAGTCATTGAACCACATTTGTTCATAGAGTAACAATCAGAATTTTAATTAACCACGACCCTCATCATTCCTGTACAGTGTCCCTCAAAGGTACTCTTCAGCATTTTCAGAATCTTGAAACTGAAATGCGAAGAACTGATCATGGCTTGTGCCTCTTTTGAAAACCAGAGTTAAGGTGCGTCTCTCACTGGAGAAGTGCAAAACGCCCTGTGAACCCAGCTGTAGTCTTTCCCTCGAACCTATGCTAGCACTTCAGTATCTTAAAAAGTCAAGGCTGTGGGCTGGAGATGCGGCTTAGGGGTAGAGCAGTAGCCTGGTCTCTGTGAGGAGGCCCTGGGTTTGACCCTGGAACTGGGTGAGCCAAGGAAAAACTGCGTGGAAACTGACCTATTTAAAAAAAATACCAGAAATGTAACTGGGCTCTTTTGACGCCTCCCGAAAGTGGAAATGAAGATAAGAGTGTATTGCTGTTTCTTCATGAATACAGAGCTTCTGTACTTTCCTACTAAATGATGAAGAAATATTACATAAGGATACTGAAGGGACTTGTTAAAAATCTTGTTCCAGGGGCCAGGGAGAAGACTTATTGGAATAAGCATTCTCTGGCAAGCGAAAGGGCCTGAGTTCAATCCCAGTTCTGCCAGATAAATAAATAAATAAATAAATAAATAAATAAATAAATAAATAAATAAATGGAATAAGCATTCTTTGGCAAGCAAAAGGGCCCTGAGTTCAATCTCCAGTTCTGCCTAATTAATTAATTAATTAATTTTTAAAAATCTTGTTCTCGACTGGCCAGATAGCTCAGTAGACTAAAGCACATGCTTAGGCAGGCGCTGGGACCAGGGTTCGATCCCAGACATGCCTGCATGCCATGCCAGCCCTGCCTTCTGGTTGTGCTGAAGCTGATTGAGACGTGGTGGGACACACCTGTAATCCCAGAGCTTGGGAGGCTGAAAGCAGGAGGATCACAAGTCCCAGCTCTGTATTGAGACCTTGTAGACCCTGTCCTAAAGAAATTAAAAAGAAAGAAAAATCTTGTTAAAGTTTAACAGTATTTATAGTTTAGTAGTGTTTTTGGTTGTTTTTTACAGAACCTCATTTTGGGGAGTAAAGTCAACTGGGCAGCGGATCCAGCCCTCAAGGAAACTGTTCTGCAGCTGGAAAAGGATCTCAGCACAATGTCATGAGAAAGCGGGTAAAAGCTGTCCGTGGAAGGTGTGGTGACCTGTGCCTGTGACCCCAGCCCTCCAGAGGCTGAGGCAGGACGATCACTACAAGTGCAAAGCCGGCAAAGAATTGTATTTCAGCATTTTTTGGCTCTTGTCTTTGATGTGTCATTTAAAAAGCAAGTTTCAAGTGAAATGAATTTCCATTGCTTTTAGAATGATCCTAATGCTGTATGTAGCTTTCTTTTTTTAGCCTCACGTGACACTATAGCATAGAATGAGTCATTTTCTATCATAGTGACTGAATACTCTAAAAGCAAGGAGATTATAGCCCTATCAGATAGACATCTGATCCATGCTGTGATGAATATGGACCTTTTTTGACAGTGCTAGTGGTCCCAGCTTTTGTTTATAATACTTATGTGCATTTATGTATTTCTCAATCAAAATATAGTGGAGTATTCACAGTGTTAACAGTTGGGATTAAAAAAAAACATTTGGGATGATTCGGATTAGGATTAAGAGTGACTCTTCTCTCTGTGTCTGCCTCTGTTTCACACACACAAACACACATAATAGGGATTGCACCCAGAAAATCTAAGCTAGAGCTGTATCCATACCATTTTTAGTTCTGTTTTGAGACAAGGTCTTGCTATCTTGCCAAGGCTGTCCTCCAACTTGCGATCCTCCTGCCTCAGCCTCCTGCATAGCTGGAATTATAGGCATGCACCATCACATCCAACACTGGTCTTCGTTAATTTGGAGCTATTGATTACAATTATGGAAGATGTAGTATTTTCAGTTTGTTTATTTATTTATTTATTTATTTATTGACACAGGGTTTCCTTGTATAGTTCAGGCTGACCCTGTCTTCACTATGTAACCAAGACTGGCCTCAAACTTGTAGCAATTCTGCCTCAGGCGGTCAAGTGCTGGGATTACAGGTGTGTGCCACCACACCCAGCTTCACTATTCGAGTTATAAGAAATTACATCTTGAAAAGATGCACTCATTCGATAGTAACTCTTAAAATCTGTTGTTGGGCTAGGGAGATAGCTCAGCAGCATAAGTGCCTGCCTGACAAGAGCAAGGTCCCTAGTTCAATCCCTGGTACTGCAGGAAAAAAAAAAGAAAGAAACAGTCCTAAAATCTGTCCTTTAGATTCCTAACAAATACAGAGATATTCCTAAGCTCAAGTAATACTTTATTTTCTTTGAAATATATATGGTTTTTAGTTTTGTCTCCATCAAACATAATTTAGGAATAATTTCATTCTTTTTGTCTGTTTTTGTATTGAGACAGGATCTCTCACCCTGTAGTGAGATTTGTGTTGAACTCATGTATTCTGTGACGGCCAGGAAGTTGACTACCTCCTTCTGCCTCAGCCTTGTTGGCATTGAGGTTACACATGTGTGCTACCAACCTGGCCTTGTTTTGCCAGCTATTGTCTACATATTTTTTTTTTTCTGTTTGTAGCCACCCGCGGGGGCTGAGGAGGCCTGGCATGTGGTGCTAGGGGTCGAACTGTGGACTCTGGGCTTGCCTAAACTTCCCTAAGCAGACACTTTAGACTATTGAGCTATTTTGCTGGCCCTACACGCATTGGTACAAAGCAGCTTACATTATCTTATACCACTCACTTTGGAAAATGGTTTTCTGTTCCATGAAGTACTTGGTAAACACGTAGGAGCTATTTGTTTTGTTGTTGTACAGACATTGAACTCAGGGCCTTTGTTTTTTGTTTTTTTTTTTAATTTTATTTATTTGTGTGTGTGTGTGTGTGTGTGTGGCCAGCTCAGCCCGCCAGGGGGCGGGGCTGGCTGGCATGTGGTGCTGGGGGATTGAACCACGGTCCCTGATGCTTTGCTAAGCTTGTTCTAAGTAGGTGCTTTAGACCACTGAGCCATCTCACCAGCCCCAAACTCAGGGCCTTTGAACTAAGCTGTCTCTCCAGCCTTTGATTTTATTTGTTGGTAGGGACAGGGTCTTGCTAAGTTGCACGGGCTCCAGCTCTCTCTGTTCCTGCCTCAGCCTTCCAGACTATTACGATGACAGGCAAGCCCTGTCACACTCAGTTTACACTGTATTAATAAATTTCAGGTCTGAGGAGATGGCTCAGTAGAATAAGCGCTTCCTGGCAAGCACAAGGTCCCAAGTTCAATCCCCGTTACTGCAAAAAATAAATAAATTTCAGCCCAGTGAACCATCTGAAAAGCTTTGCCTTAACTGGACCCCTACGCAGCTCTGAGGAATTAAATTTGTCAGTTTGCCTGAAATGTTGCTGAATAATGACCTCAAAGCTGTTTTATGACATTTCTGTTTGGGGCCTGGGGTTCAGCCCAGCACTCTAGGAGGGAGCATCCATTTGGCAGAAGGCAGGAGCTCCTGAGGTCCAGCTAAGCTGCACAAGGGCAAATAAAGGTGACTCACACGAGCACAACTCAGTGTTCTGCTTGGAAAAGGTAGCCAGCCACAGATCAGACCACCACATAGAGACAGAGACTTACTTTCTCCTTCAGAAAGTGAATGTTGAACTTCAGAATCAGGGAAAGGAGATGGGTATTTGTCACAGAGAACGCAGTCTACCTCAGCTTTTCTCCGTGAAAAAGACACCCAGATGGGAGGCTGTGTGGTCCCAGCTACTTGGGAGGCTGATGCAGAACTGCTTGAGCTCTGGAGATCAGGTCCACCCTGAGAACCACTGAGGCTCATGGACCGGAAGACGCTCCTCTCTGGGAAGTAAGCAAGCCGTGCAGCCCTCCTGAGGTTACTTCAGCCTTAACACCTCATGACAGTCTGGTGTCGACTGTTTTGTTCTCTTTCTTATTGGTCCTGATACTAGACATCGAACTCAGGACCTCATGCTGGGCAGGCAGTTGCTGCTCCACTGAGCCAAATCCCTGGGCCCTGTGTCTGCTCTTGATCTGGAGGCCTATGAAATGAAACCACATCGCTGCCCACATCCCAAACCACAGTGGAGCAGGTTCAGTGGCAATTCTTAAATACTAACCGCTAAACAATAGGAGTGTCCCCTCTGGAAGGGAAAGGGAGGCTTGTCCCCAGTTTGGGGCTCCTACAAGATCTTGCCCTGAACTCTATGTCCAGCCCAGCAGGGCCTTCTGACTGGCTTCCTTACTATGGTAGCACAGTGTAATTGAACTGAATAGTTGCAATAGTGAGGTAAGGCTCCTGCACTGCACTCCTCCTGTAAGGTAACCTGTGGAGGATGCCAGATGTGGTGGCGCTCACCTGTGGTCCCAGTACTTGGGAGGCTGACCCAGGAGGACTGTTGGGCGTGTGAGAGCAGTGTGGATCAGAGAGTGAGCTCAAGGCCAGCCTGAACTGTGTAGTGAGACCCTGTCTCAAAGAGAGAAAGAAGAAAACAAAATGCAAAGTTAGGAAAGAAAGGAAACCATCCTTTTCAGAAGAGGACTGGCTTTTGTCTGGGAGGCTGACAAATACCAGCATCGTCCCCTCTGACAGCCTCAGGGGGTTTCTGTTGGGTTAGAAGGAGGGGACTGTGGCTATCTTGAGTTGGGCTTGCTTTATAAACTCTGACCTTCCTGCTGTTGCACCCACCAGCACTTATTTGCTGGACTCATTGTCTTAAGGGCCCCCAAACCTGAGGAATCCAGCGGAGGAAGCAATTCTGATCTTCACAAGAGCCCACAAACCTTGGAGCTTGAACTCTTCCTCCTCAGGTCAAAATAATTTTCTAACTCTCCCACAATGATGTGAGAAAATCTGCCCTGTAGAATGTTTCTTGTAAACTACCCAATCGCTTAGTTGTTTATATAGTGCATTTCACTACTGAATTACTGTACACTACAGGTTAGAGCCAGATGTTTTATTATATGAGGTTTCTTTTTTTTTTTTAACCAACAAAACTCCGTCTGGTCTAGGTGCTTCCTGCTGTGCTCCAACCTGACTTCCTGCCGGCATTCTGGCGGGGGCACCTGCCTAGCAGAGCAATGGTCTGGCCAGGGAAGGTGGTTTGGGGAAGCTCCACGATCCTCCCTGACCCAGGATCTCTGGCCTGCAGGGAAGGAGTGTGCTTCTGCTGGCTTTTCCTTTTTGTGTTGTTGATTTCACCAGAGCTCTAGGTCCAAACAGCTTTCTCTGTCTCCTTTCCCTCTCCACTCTGACCTGGAACATAACTTGGGACCTCTCTGGATTCTTCTGTCACAGGCAGCACCTACTAGGAGGCTCCTGGTGAGAGTGACAGCCCTGACACGAGGCTGGTGTTGTCCATGCTTCTTCTAGGACGTGAGGCGGGCAGCAGATGAGGCCACGCCAGCCACTGTGCATGTGGAGGATGAGCTGGGAAGGGTGGGCCACCTGGGGCAGCCTGGAGCGTTGTACCCCACTGCTGCGAGGGCGTCACTCAGGCATGGTCTCTTCAGTTAGGGCACTGACCCTGTAGTTACTGCTACATGCTGAGTTTCTCTGTAGGAATGTGTCCTGCAGACATGCCTCTGGGCCTGACGTAGGACAGAAGCAATAACAGCATGTAGAAAGGAGAGGAGGAAATTGTCATTTTATGGAAACTTAGGAAAGTGGTTTTCTCCCACCTCATACCCACCTAGCATGTTCCCATGTTTCTATCTTGGGCCCACCTCACCTTGTAGATCTGCTCTCTAAAAAAAATTGCTAAGGGCCAGCCAGATAGCTCAGTGGATTAAAGCGCCTGCTTAGGCAAACGCAGGGACCAGGTTCGATTCCCAGCATGCCGTACCAGTCCAGCTCCCAGAGTGCCCTGAGAGAGATTTAGAGGGCGTGATATTGTGTGCCTGTAATCCCAGCACTCAGGTGGCTGAAAACAGGAGGATCACTGAGTCTGATCTGTGTAGTGAGATGCTGTAGACCCTGTACCAAATATATTTAATTAATTTTTTTGTTTTTTGTTTTTAATTTTTATTTATGTGTGTGTGTGTGTGTGTGTGTGTGTGTGTGTGTGTGTGGCCAGCTCAGCCCACCAGGGGGCGCGGCTGGCTGGCATGTGGTGCTGGGGGATTGAACCGTGGTCCCTTTGCTTTGCTAAGCTTGTTCAAATAGGTGCTTTAGACCACTCAGCCATCTCACCAGCCCCACCAAATATATTTAAAAAGGGGCCTTTTAAACCTACCTCAGACTTAGAAAATATATATCCCTATGTCATAAAACACAGGACTCTGTCCACTATATAAAAATGA